TGAGATGGTCACGGATAGACGAGTAGACGGTCATGAAGGGACGAGGAGACGGTCATGGGGGGGGACGAGGAGACAGGCACGGGGGGGGGACGAGTAGATGGTCATGGATGGTCATGGGGGGACGAGTAGACGGTCACAGGGGGGGCGAGTACACGGCATGGATGGTCATGGGGGGACGAGTAGACTGGCACGGGAGGGGATGAGTAGACACTCATGGGCGGGGGGGGGGGACGAGTAGACACTCATGGGGGGGGGACGAGTAGACACTCATATGGGGGGGGGGGGGGACGAGTAGACGGTCATGGGGGGGACGGACGAGTAGACGGTCATGGGGGGGGGGACGGGGGACGAGTAGACGGTCATGGGGGGATAATGAGATGGTCATGGATGGAGTAGACGGTCATGGAGGGACAATGAGATGGTCATGGGGGGACGAGTAGACGGTCATGGGGGGACGAGTAGACGGTCATGGGGGGACGAGTAGACGTCATGGGGGGACGAGTAGACTGGGGCCCCAATTTAGTGCCCGGACAAGTAGGTTTTTAAAAAAATTCCACACCCCTGACATGTCCAGTCTGGAGGAAAGAAGGGGGAGACAAGTGACACCTTTACATACATGAAGCAGGGAAGACGGTTCTGGAGGACTTTCAGTATGAAGATAAATAACACGAAGACGTGACCGCAGACTAGAAGAGGAAAGTTCAGAAAGTATTTTAGTTGCAGCATGGAGCAGACTCCCAGAGGCAGAGCATCAGTCATAGGCTATATTATACAGGAATCAAACAAACTGCATCTAGAGTAACAACAAAAAAGGTTCAACAAAACTAAAAAAGGGCAAACTTGGACCATCTGGTCTCTTTCTGCCATCACTCTTCAATGTTCCTACGTCCCATCACTACAATCCAGGAAGGGGTCTCTGTCCACAGTGTGCCGATCGTCCCATCACTACAATCCAGGAAGGGGTCTCTGTCCACAGTGTGCCGATCGTCTCATCACTACATATCCAGGAAGGGGTCTCTGTCCACAGTGTGCCGATCGTCCCATCACTGAACGTCCAGGAAGGGGGTCTCTGTCCACAGTATGCCGATCGTCCCATCACTGAACGTCCAGGAAGGGGGTCTCTGTCCACAGTATGCCGATCGTCCCATCACTGAACGTCCAGGAAGGGGGTCTCTGTCCACAGTGTGCCGATCGTCCCATCACTGCACGTCCAGGAAGTATTCTCTGTATACAAAGAGCCGATCGTCCCACCACTGCACATACAGGGAGCCGATCGTCCCACCACTGCACATACAGGGAGACGATCGTCCCACCACTGCACATAGAGACGATCGTCCCACCACTGCACATAAAGAGACGATCGTCCCATTACTGCACATACAGAGAGCCGATCATCCCATCACTGCACATACAGGGAGCCGATCGTCCCATCACTGCACATATAGAGAGCCGATCGTCCCATCACTGCACATATAGAGAGCCGATCGTCCCATCACTGCACATATAGAGAGCCGATCGTCCCATCACTGCACATACAGAGAGCCGATCGTCCCATCACTGCACATATAGAGAGCCGATCGTCCCATCACTGCACATATAGAGAGCCGATCGTCCCATCACTGCACATACAGAGAGTCGATCGTCCCATCACTGCACGTCCAGGAAGGCATCTCCGGCGCTGTGCTGGGAGCTCTGATGAGAGGTGAGACGGGACAGGTCGGGGAAGTCCTTGTCACACTGGGGACAGGAATAGCTGTGAACACTCACATGCTGTCTGTGGTGCCGGTGGCTGCGCTGATGACGGAACAGATTGGAGCTCTGTGTAAACGACTTTCCGCACTCACACACATACGGCCTCTCCCTCGTGTGCACTCGTTGGTGCATTATGAGGTGTGACCTACAATTAAAGCTCTTCTCACAACGCTGACACTGGAAGGGTTTCTTCGGAGGGAGGGTAGTCACTGCCAGGCCCAGGTAGGTCTTGCACTGATCGCCGGTGGTTAACATCGAACTATTGCTGCTCCCGGCCAGCAGAAGAGGTCTGGGGACTTGGCTCAGCTCAGCAGAACTCGGCCCGGGAAGTCTTCTGGATGCTTTGGTCACCTTTCGTTTCTTACACACAAACTGCAAAGCTTCCTGCATGTGAAGGCGGTCAGAATGGCTGTCCATCTGCACTGTATACACTGGAGCCTGAAGACCGGTCGGTGAGCTCTCCTGCTTGATCTTAATAATCGGCAAATTCTCCACTGCAACACAGAAAGGAACATTTCATGAAGAAGAGGAGATGATTCCCTGAGGTACAAGAATTCCTCATACTATGAGCGGGACATTGTATGGGAACCACGCCTCCCGCCTGGGGACACCCACCTCCCGCCTGGGGAAACCCTCCACCTCCCGCCTGGGGAAACCCTCCACCTCCCGCCTGGGGAAACCCTCCACCTCCCGCCTGGGGAAACCCTCCACCTCCCGCCATGAACCAATCACTTCTGTACACCTCACTCCATCCCAGACTAAGAGGGACATATAGTATGGGAACCCCACCTCCCACCATGAACCAATCACTTCTGTATACCCCATTCTATCCCAGACTAAGAGGGACATATTGTATGGGAACCCCACTTCCCACCTGGGGACCCCCACCTCCCGCCTGGGGACACCCACCTCCCGCCATGAACCAATCACTTCTGTACACCTCATTCCATCCCAGACTAAGAGGGTCATATTGTATGGGAACCCCACCTCCCACCATGAACCCATCACTTCTGTACACCTCATTCCATCCCAGACTAAGAGGGACATATTGTATGGGAACCCCACCTATCACCTGGGAAACCCTCCTCCTGCCTGGGGACACCCACCTCCCACCATGAACCAATCACTTCTGTACACCTCACTCCATCCCAGACTAAGAGGGACATACTGTATGGGAACCCCACCTCCCGCCTGGGAACCCCACCTCCCGCCTGGGGACACCCACCTCCCGCCTGGGGACACCCACCTCCCGCCTGGGGACACCCACCTCCCGCCTGGGGACACCCACCTCCCGCCATGAACCAATCACTTCTGTACACCTCACTCCATCCCAGACTAAGAGGGACATACTGTATGGGAACCCCACTTCCCGCCTGGGAACCCCACCTCCCGCCTGGGAACACCCACCTCCCACCTCCCGCCTGGGAACCCCACCTCCCGCTGGGGACACCCACCTCCCGCCATGAACCAATCACTTCTGTACACCTCATTCCATCCCAGACTAAGAGGGTCATATTGTATGGGAACCCCACCTCCCACCATGAACCCATCACTTCTGTACACCTCATTCCATCCCAGACTAAGAGGGACATATTGTATGGGAACCCCACCTATCACCTGGGAACCCCACCTCCCGACTGAGGACACCCACCTCCTGCCATGAACCAATCACTTCTGTACACCTCACTCCATCCCAGACTAAGAGAGACATAGTATGGGAACCCCACCTCCTGCCTAGGAACCCCACCTCCAGCCTGGGGAACCCCACCTCCCGCCATGAACCAATCACTTCTGTACACCTCACTCCATCCCAGACTAAGAGGGACATACTGTATGGGAACCCCACCTCCCGCCTGGGGACACCCACCTCCCACCATGAACCCATCATTTCTGTACACCCCATTCTGTCCCAGACTAAGAGGGACATACTGTGTGGGAACCCACCTCCCTCCATGAACCCATCATTTCTGTACACTCCATTCTGTCCCAGGCTAAGAGGAACATACTGTATGGGAACCCACCTCCCTCCATGAACCAATCATTTCTGTACACTCCATTCTGTCCCAGACTAAGAGGGACATACTGTGTGGGAACCCACCTCCCTCCATGAACCAATCATTTCTGTACACTCCATTCTGTCCCAGACTAAGAGGGACATACTGTGTGGGAACCCCACCTCCCGCCATGAACCAATCATTTCTGTACACTCCATTCTGTCCCAGACTAAGAGGGACATACTGTATGGGAACCCACCTCCCTCCATGAACCAATCATTTCTGTACACTCCATTCTGTCCCAGACTAAGAGGGACATACTGTGTGGGAACCCCACCTCCCGCCATGAACCAATCATTTCTGTACACTCCATTCTGTCCCAGACTAAGAGGGACATACTGTGTGGGAACCCACCTCCCTCCATGAACCAATCATTTCTGTACACTCCATTCTGTCCCAGACTAAGAGGGACATACTGTGTGGGAACCCCACCTCCCGCCATGAACCAATCATTTCTGTACACTCCATTCTGTCCCAGACTAAGAGGGACATACTGTATGGGAACCCACCTCCCTCCATGAACCAATCACTTCTGTACACCCCATTCTGTCCCAGACTAAGAGGGAAATGAAAGTTCAAAGCTCACCGGGGTTCAGAACCTTTTTTCACTGTACAAAATATAAACCTAGCCTACATTAAATGTGGACAGTGTCAGTCAGTAGAGCAGAGGGTGGTGTCAGTAGTTTACTTTAATTATTTTATTTTGAATTGTTTTATTATTTTTTTAGCAGTCTTGTTGGGGGGCTTTGGTGAAATATCAGGGGTCTAAACAGAACACACAGAGGGAAGCACACGGGGCCTGGGCAACAGGTAAAAGGGGAACATGGACAGAAGCATCATTTACTAGAACTGATCCCCTACCCTCCAGTAGCAGCTGACTATTGGCTGGGGCGGGAGAGGAGGAGAACAGGCTTTCAACTGCTGCAGGAGGAAAGGGGCTCAGTTCCACTAAATGCCACTGCCACTCCTGTCCAGGTTCTGAGGGTCGGCAAGGCACTGACTCGATCTACACGTCATCTACCCATGATCAATGGTGTGGATTGCAATCGATGAGAACCTCCCCCCCCCCATTATTCACTTATTTGTAATAGGATGAAGGTCAGAGGAGCTCGGCTCACCTAGGTGCAGTCTATGGTGTCAGAGCAGATACAAGTTTTATACGATGGAGCTCGGAGGAGCTCGGAGTAGCTCGGCTCACCTAGGTGCAGTGTGGGATGTCTGAGAAAGGACAAGGTGGCTTTGCAGTGTTTGCTGCAGGTTTTGTTCAGAGGAGGATTTCCGGTAGGTATGAAGGTGGGTGCTCCTCACAAGTACCGTACCCGTACATTTCTTCTCTCCTACATGAACCCTCTGATGTCTCACCAGGGCAGAGTTGGCGAGGAAGCTTTTGCCACAGTCGTCACACATATAAGGTCTCTCTCCTGTGTGGGTCCTTTTATGAATGATGAGATGAGAGCTCTGAGCAAAGGCCTTTCCACACACTGTGCACACATGAGGCCTCTCCCCCCGATGGGCCCTTTGATGGCGGAATAGATTGGAGCTCTGAGTGAATGATTTCCCGCACTCACACACATAGGGTCTCTCCCGAGTGTGCACATGCTGGTGGGCGATGAGGTGGGAGCTGCAGTTAAAACTTTTCTCACATCGCTGACACTGGAATGGTTTCTTAATAGTGAATTTCTTTGTAGGTGTCCCCATCTGTGTTTTATATGGATCACAGAGGTCCAGGGTACTATCGCTGTCAGGCGCTACCATTAGAGTCTTGGCTTCTTGGCTCTGACCAGGGTATCTGACTCTGCCAGATGGTGACGTTCCTAGGTTCCTGAAGGAGATCTGCCGTTTGTGTTGTACATTCCGATTATCACAGTCCGGTAAGTGGAGTTCAGTAGGTGACCTTTCCTGCTTCATATTGGCCATGTTTTCTACTGAAACAGAGAAAACGGTATAAACAACCTGAAGACTCACTCTTCCATAACGACACGATTTTCACATTTTTCCTGGTGATATGGCAATGTTACATCATCAACGGGTCACTGCCATGTGCCTATATCTGTGCAATGCTGCAAAAACACATATCAATATGCACAAGCTGACCCCAGAAGGGAGGCCATGTCCAAGTGTTTTCACAGCCAAGGACAACATAGGTAAGAAAACATGGCCGCCATTTCCTCAATGGGCCCCCTCCCCATGGCCGCCATTTCCTCAATGGGCCCCCTCCCCATGGCCGCCATTTCCTCAATGGGCCCCCTCCCCATGGCCGCCATTTCCTCAATGGGCCCCCTCCCCATGGCCGCCATTTCCTCAATGGGCCCCCTCATGGCCGCCATTTCCTCAATGGGCCCCCTCCCCATGGCCGCCATTTCCTCAATGGGCCCCCTCCCCATGGCCGCCATTTCCTCAATGGGCCCCCTCCCCATGGCCGCCATTTCCTCAATGGGCCCCCTCCCCATGGCCACCATTTCCTCAATGGGCCCCCTCCCCATGGCCGCCATTTCCTCAATGGGCCTCCTCTCCATGGCCGCCATTTCCTCAATGGGCCTCCTCTCCACGGCCGCCATCTCTCTCTACTTGTCTAAAGGTGCCTGCTTAGAAATCTACTGGCCAGGATGGCGCCATTCATTCCTGTGATTGAACCTGACAGCAAATATAATTTCTGTTCAGTGCTGGAGTAAAACTGCTACCGTATGTCTTTTGTTCTAAGTCCACGGCAAGGGCTGTCCTCACTAGTCTTGACGTGAACGGGGCCTGTGGTACAGCCCTGGAAGAATTCCTTCACACTCCAGCTCTATTAAAACACATCTTTATTGCTGCCTTTGTTCCTATTGATCACATTTCCTGTCCTGTCTGACATCCATCAAATAGACAGGAAATGGAGACCTTTCCCCCATCTTTCTATCCTGTCTGAAGTCTGAGACAGGAAATGAGGAAAAAATCACCCAAATGAAGACACAAACAGCAATAAAAAGTTAACAGTTGTTCCAATCTCATATTATTCGTCCCAAATAAAAGAAAACTGCTTTATGCTGGAGTCTGGCAATAATCTTATTGGAGACAAAAAGACTATAGACTGCCCTGAACACTACAGAGTTACAGGGGAGTCCGGCAGCATGCATGGGGCTCAATGTCTAGGAAAAACCTCTGTTTTCCAACATCCAGACTTGGGACACAGTTTTCTGAGCAGGACCTTGTTTCTCCCACATCCAGAGTAGTAACAGTGTCTTTGTAGGATGTTCCTTCTGCATCCAGAGTTGGGACCCATTGTCTGAGCAGGACCTCATTTCTCCCACATCCAGTGTTGGAACACAGTGTCCCTGTTTCCTCTACATCCAGAGTTGGGACTCATTGTCTGAGCAGGACCTAATGTCTCCTACATCCAGAGTGGTAACAATGTCTTGGTAGGACCACGTTTCTTCTACATCTAGAGTTGGGACCCATTGTCTGAGCAGGACCTCATTTCTCCTACATCCAGTGTTGGAACACAGTATCCCTGTTTCCTCTACATCCAGAGTTGGGACCCTTTGTCTGAGCAGGACCTCGTTTCTCCTACATCCAGTGTTGGAACACAGTGTCCCTGTTTCCTCTACATCCAGAGTTGGGACCCAATGTCTGAGCAGGACCTTGTTTCTCCCACATCCAGTGTTGGTACACAGTGTCCCTGTTTCCTCTACATCCAGAGTTGGAACTCATTGTCTGAGCAGGACCTAATGTCTCCTACATCCAGAGTGGTAACAATGTCTTGGTAGGACCACGTTTCTTCTACATCTAGAGTTGGGACCCATTGTCTGAACAGGACCTCATTTCAACTACATTCAGCATTAGGACTCCATATCTGCATAGGACCGAGTTTCTTCTACAATGATTGACAATGCCTGGAAGGCCTTCCAGAAGAATTCATGATAATCCTGGGTGAATATCACACAGATAAAGGCTTTTTCTGTTCCCAATTATAAAGTCCAGTCTTCTTGTGGAAAACGTCTCTCAGATGATGAAATACCATCAGAAATATCTTCCTGAGACTTCTTCTGTCCCTTATGTTTGAGTTATACAAATGCACAGCATGGAGTCTGTCTGCCAAGGATAAAGTATCCACACCACCCACCATGTTTCCCTCAATCTGAGCTGACAAAATGTAAAAAATAAAATATTCTGGCAAGGCTTTTGTATTCCCTATTTTATTGTGATGTAATGTGAACCCGACAAGCTACAGAGTGCCACGTCATTCCGCTCTGCATTCAATTGGTTGGTAGATAAAATGTATCCACCATTCCTTACAGCATACAATTCCCATACCCCAATTCCAACACACACGCTCAGCTTTTGATCCCCAGACTGGTCGATTACTCACCCTGGAAATCTTCTGATGATCCAGCCACATAGGAGTCGGAGAAGCTGCTTCCTGGAATATTCCGTGAAATACCCGGCTCCTCTGTCAGAGGATTCATACAGGAATCCTTGCATGTCTCAGGAAATGTTCTGGAGTAGGAATTAAGGGCGGAGTCATTTAGAAAGGATCCTGCATTGGAATCAGTGTGATTGGCAGATGCTGGAAAACTTGACAGGCTGTTTCCCTTTAATACATCTAGAAAGGGGTTTTGATAGGAGTCAGAGATGGGGCTCCTGGGGGTGTCAGCCTGAGAGTCGGCGTACAGGTTCAATTTGCCATTGGAGATTGTGGCCTCATCTGCTGGAGCCACAGTCACTTCTTCGATCTCAGTGGGTGGGACTGTCTCCGTCTTCACGGTGAATGAACCTGGAACCAGAATAAGGACGTGTGACCTCTCAACGTTCTCATAGGTAAGGAAGATCAGTACTGAAAAACATGGGATGGATGTACACTGGCTCTGATATTGATTATCATGGTCTGATAACTGGGAGAGGACGTGATGGGATGGATGTACACTGGCTCTGATATTGATTATCATGGTCTGATAACTGGGAGAGGATGTGATGGGATGGATGTACACTGGCTCGGATATTGATTATCATGGTCTGATAACTGGCAGAGGACGTGATGGGATGGATGTACACTGGCTCGGATATTGATTATCATGGTCTGATAACTGGCAGAGGACGTGATGGGATGGATGTACACTGGCTCGGATATTGATTATCATGGTCTGATAACTGGGAGAGGACGTGATGGGATGGATGTACACTGGCTCTGATATTGATTATCATGGTCTGATAACTGGGAGAGGATGTGATGGGATGGATGTACACTGGCTCGGATATTGATTATCATGGTCTGATAACTGGCAGAGGACGTGATGGGATGGATGTACACTGGCTCGGATATTGATTATCATGGTCTGATAACTGGGAGAGGATGTGATGGGATGGATGTACACTGGCTCTGATATTGATTATCATGGTCTGATAACTGGCAGAGGACGTGATGGGATGGATGTACACTGGCTCTGATATTGATTATCATGGTCTGATAACTGGGAGAGGACGTGATGGGATGGATGTATTGATTATCATGGTCTGATAACTGGCAGAGGACGTGATGGGATGGATGTACACTGGCTTGGACTTCGATTATCATGGTCTGATAACTGGCAGAGGACGTGATGGGATGGATGTACACTGGCTCGGACATTGATTATCATGGTCTGATAACTGGGAGAGGACGTGATGAGATGGATGTACACTGGCTCTGATATTGATTATCATGGTCTGATAACTGGGAGAGGACGTGATGGGATGGATGTACACTGGCTCTGATATTGATTATCATGGTCTGATAACTGGGAGAGGACGTGATGGGATGGATGTACACTGGCTCTGATATTGATTATCATGGTCTGATAACTGGCAGAGGACGTGATGGGATGGATGTACACTGGCTCCGATATTGATTATCATGGTCTGATAACTGGCAGAGGACGTGATGAGATGGATGTACACTGGCTCGGACATTGATTATCATGGTCTGATAACTGGGAGAGGACATGATGGGATGGATGTACACTGGCTCTGATATTGATTATCATGGTCTGATAACTGGGAGAGGACGTGATGAGATGGATGTACACTGGCTCTGATATTGATTATCATGGTCTGATAACTGGGAGAGGACGTGATGGGATGGATGTACACTGGCTCTGATATTGATTATCATGGTCTGATAACTGGGAGAGGACGTGATGGGATGGATGTACACTGGCTCTGATATTGATTATCATGGTCTGATAACTGGCAGAGGACATGACGTAATGGATTTGCAGGGGTTTGGACGTCTGATATCTGGGAGAGGGACAGGGTAGGTAGAAGAGGGGGGGAGAATGATTTGATGGTGAATAGGAACGGCACTGCTAATGGGGCTGGTGAGGAGGTGGAGTGTTTGTGGCTGGAGCTTTAAAGAGGCAAAATAAACATTAAATTGACCCTAACATTAAGAAGATGGTGGGGAGGAAGATCAAAACTCCAATCAAGGGGGACTACACTTACTCCGGTAGTGATTGGGCAGACAAGCAGTTGGAAGCCTCAACTAGACAAAATGCTCCGCTGGACCTAACGATTACAAACACAGAGCTGATTGCAGATATGGAAGTAAAAAAACTTCACAGAGTAATTAGATTTTCCATAAATTATAGGCAAAGGACATATGAGGGTAGGAAAAGAATCTTCTAATGAGCCAACTTTAATACCTGCACTCCATACTACATGACACTAACTGGGATCACATTCTTGAATCCAATAACACAAGAGAACCCTAAGTGCTATAAGGACAGATCAAACGACATTGATTAGTGCATTCCACTGGGCAACAAATCTAAAAGAACAAAAATTATACCTGGGTGGCTAAATACCAACATAATAGGAATATTAATGAGAAAAAAAACATCCTTTAAAAATATAAAACTGAAGGGCCACCATCGGCATTCCATAACTACAAGGAGAGATTTGAGAAATTCAAGAGTTATCAGGGCAAAGAAAACCAATAACAAGAAGCACAGCGCTGAGGATAGTGAAAAAAAAATGATGCCCAAAACAATTTCAAATATAATAATAGTAAAAAGGCGAGGTGAGAACATACTGGCCCAATAACAGATGATCCGGGGAAACTGGTCACAAGGAACAAGGAGAAGGCAATGGTATTAAATACATTCTTCTTCTCAGTGTATTCAAATGAAAAGGTATAATAAAAAAAAACAAAGAAATGCTAATAACATCATACTGAGTGAACCCTTGTGGCCGATAAAGACCACCTCTGAAAAGAAAGACTCAATAAAATGATTGTGAACAAATCACAGATGGCTTACACCCGAGAGTTCTCAGAGAACTTAGCCAGTTTATAGCCAGTCATCATTAATGTGAACAAATCACAGATGGCTTACACCCGAGAGTTCTCAGAGAACCAGCCAGGTTATTATAGCCAGATCATTATTAATGTGAACAAATCACAGATGGCTTACACCCGAGAGTTCTCAGAGAACTTAGCCAGGTTATTATAGCCAGATCATTATTGTGAACAAATCACAGATGGCTTACACCCGAGAGTTCTCAGAGAACTTAGCCAGGTTATAGCCAGATCATTATTAATGTGAACAAATCACAGATGGCTTACACCCGAGAGTTCTCAGAGAACTTAGCCAGGTTATAGCCAGATCATTATTAATGTGAACAAATCACAGATGGCTTACACCCGAGAGTTCTCAGAGAACTTAGCCAGGTTATAGCCAGATCATCATTAATGTGAACAAATCACAGATGGCTTACACCCGAGAGTTCTCAGAGAACCAGCCAGGTTATTATAGCCAGATCATTATTAATGTGAACAAATCACAGATGGCTTACACCCGAGAGAGTTCTCAGAGAACTTAGCCAGGTTATTATAGCCAGATCATTATTGTGAACAAATCACAGATGGCTTACACCCGAGAGTTCTCAGAGAACTTAGCCAGGTTATAGCCAGATCATTATTAATGTGAACAAATCACAGATGGCTTACACCCGAGAGTTCTCAGAGAACTTAGCCAGGTTATAGCCAGATCATTATTAATGTGAACAAATCACAGATGGCTTACACCCGAGAGTTCTCAGAGAACTTAGCCAGGTTATTATAGCCAGATCATTATTAATGTGAACAAATCACAGATGGCTTACACCCGAGAGTTCTCAAGAGAACCAGCCAGGTTATTATAGCCAGATCATTATTAATGTGAACAAATCACAGATGGCTTACACCCGAGAGTTCTCAGAGAACTTAGCCAGGTTATTATAGCCAGATCATTATTAATGTGAACAAATCACAGATGGCTTACACCCGAGAGTTCTCAGAGAACCAGCCAGGTTATAGCCAGATCATTATTAATGTGAACAAATCACAGGTGGCTTACACCGAGAGTTCTCAGAGAACTTAACCAGGTTATTACAGCCAGATCATTATTAATGTGAACAAATCACAGATGGCTTACACCCGAGAGTTCTCAGAGAACCAGCCAGGTTAGCCAGACTGTTGGTGTGGACTTATTCACCCTGAGGTCATCACAGAGGACAAGGGGGCACTCTTTACGTCTGGAGGAAAACAGACATAATCTCCAAACACGGAAAGGTTTCTTCACAGTGAGAGCTGTGAGAATGTGGAATAGACTCCCTCCAGAGTTGGTTGTGGCCAGCTCAGTGGATTGCTGTAGGAACGTCCTGGATTCTTTCCTAGATACAGAGAATATACAGTATCTCCCAGAAGTGAGTCCACCCCTACTTGACAAGGTCCAAATTGGGCCCAATTAGCCATTTTCCCTCCCCGGGGTCAGGTTACAAGGTCTCAGGTGTGAATGGGGATCAGGTGGGTTACATTTGGTGTCTTCGCTCTCTCACTCTCATACTGCTCACAGGAAGTTTAACATGGAACCTCATGGCAAAGAACTTTCTAAGGATCAGAAAAAAAAGAATTGTTGCTCTACATAAAGATGGCCTAGGCTACAAGAAGATTGCCAATACCCTGAAACTGAGCTGCAGCATGGTGGCCAAGACCATACAGCAGATTAACAGGACAGGTTCCACTCAGACAGGCCTCACCATGGTCCACCAAAGAAGTTGAGTGCATGTGCTCAGTGTCATATCCAGAGGTTGTCTTTGGGAAATAGACGTATGAGTGCTGCCAGCATTGCTGCAGAGGGTGAAGGAGTGGGGGGTCAGCCTGTCAGTGGTGCCAGCATTGCTGCAGAAGGTGTAGGGGTGGGGGGGAGGGCAGCCTGTCAGTGCTCAGACCATACGCCGCACACTGCATCAAATTGGTCTGCATGGCTGTCGTCCCAGAAGGAAGCCTCTTCTAAAGATGATGCACAAGGAAGTCCGAAAACAGTTTGCTGAAGACAAGCAGACTAAGGACATGGATTACTGGAACCATGTCCTGTGGTCTGATGACACCAACATCAACTGATTTGGATCAAATGGTGTCAAGCATGTGTGGCGGCACCAGGTGAGGAGTACAAAGACAAGTGTGTCTTGCCTACAGTCAAGCATGGTGGTGGGGGTGTCATGGTCTGGGGGGCTGCATGGTGGTGGGGGTGTCATGGTCTGGGGCTGCAGGGTGGCGGGGGGGGTGTCATGGATTGAGTGCTGCCAGCACTGGGGAGCTACAGGTCATTGAGGGAACCATGAATATCAACATGTAATGTGACATACTGAAGCAAAGCATGATCCCCTCCCTTCGGAGACTGGGCCGCAGGGCAGTATTCCAACATGAGAACGACCCCAAAACACACCTCCCAGACCACCACTGCCTTGCTAAAGAAGCTG